AAATATACAGGGTCTAAAGCCAGCAACTAACAACAAAATACCTTTCATCCATGGAATACTTACAGAGTCAAATGCAATGTTTGCGGTTTTCACAGAGACCCACATAAAGGATCACCTCGACAATGAAATATGGGTCCCGGGGTTACAACCTACACAGATGCGACAGAGTGAACAGGCAAAAAGGATGGGGGGGGGGAGGAGGAGGAGGTTGGCCTGTATGTCACAGAGTCACTGATATGCTCGGAACTACTAATTGCCTCAAATGATGTAGTTGAAATTTTAGCAGTAATGTTCGAGTTCCAAAACAAAGTCATTTGGCTGTATACAAGCGTCTGGATGCAACTTCCCAACAATTCCAGGAACAACTTATAAAAATTGATCATTGTCCGGAAAATCTACCAGCTGCTGCCCACAACGTCTTGCTCCTTGCGGATTTCAACTTAAGGCATCTAAAATGGAGGAATGTAGCAAATAATGCAGTAGCAGAGATAACCCCAGGAGGCAGGTCAGATGAAAACATGAACTTTTAAATCTCTGCGCCAAATTCACCTTAAACCAGGAAATAATAGTCAACAAGATTGGAGAATACAATAGACCTTGCTCCCATCCTGTTACTCGTCCTCATATCTGACATAGACAGGGATGTAAGCCACAGCGCTGTGTCTTCCTTTGCAGATGACACCCGAATTTAGAGGACAGTATCTTCCATTCAAGACACTGCAAGACTCCAGGCGGACATCAACCAAATCTTTAAATGGGCAGCAGAAAACAATATGAAGTTCAGTGATGAGGAATATCAACTACTCTGATTTCGAAAACGTGAGGAAATTAAAACTATATCGGAGTATAAAATAAATTCCAACCATATGAGAGCGATAAACTAATGTAAAATACATGGAAGTGATAATGTCAGAGGATATAACTTTCAAAAACCACAACATTGAAGCAATCTTCTCTTCTAGAAGAATGACAGGATGAATAATGAGAACCTTCAAAACTAGGGATGTCAAGCCCATGATGACACTCTTCAGGTCACTTGTTTTGTCTAGGCTGGAATATTGCTGCACACTAACACCACCTTTCAAGGCTGACCTAGAAAATGTACAGAGAACCTTCATGGTGCACATAAGTGAGATAAAACACCTTTATTAGGGAACGCTTGAAGTTTCTCAACCTGTACTCCCTAGAACGGGAAAATCCTAGAGGGATTAGTACCAAATTTGCACACGAAAATCACTCTCTATAAAAACAAATGACTCGGCAAACGATGCAGCATCCACCCAATGACAAGCAGAGGCGCCACTAGCAGGTTAAGAGACAACATTGAGTGTCAGGGGCCCGAGACTGTTCAACTGCCTCCCAGCATACATAAGGGGGATTACCAACAGACCCCTGACTGTCTTCAAGAAGGCACCGGACAGGCACCTTAAGTCAGTAACTGACCAGCCTGGCTGTGGTTCGTACATCAGTTTGCGTGTGGTCAACAGTAACAGCCTGGTTGGTCAGACCCTGATCCACCATGAGGCCTGGTCACAGACCGGGCTGCTGGGGCGTTGACCCCCGAAACCCTCTCCAGGTAAACTCCAGGTATTATTCATGTCAAAGATATTAACCCTAAAAGCAAGTACATTGTCCAGAAAAAAATAATAAAGCCAAGTTTCATAAAAAATAGTTTTGAAAATAATATGAATATTGTTTTAGAATTATGAAAATTAGATTAATTTATAATTAATAAAATTTGAGAATAATTTAAGATACATTAGGCAATTTAAATTCATCTTAATCCTTAGGTAGAATTTAAGCCGCGTTTCATAGAGCCTTATAACGGCACAAAACATACTCAACTCCTGCCAGTTTGGATTCAGGAAAAATAAAAGCACTAACGATGCAATCATAAAAATGCTAGATCTGCTTTACACAGCATTGAAAAATAAGAAACATCTGCTAGGAATTTTTAGTGACCTACGAAAAGCGTTTGACACAGTTGACCACGACATTCTACTCCACAAACTTGACCACTATGGTATAAGAGGCCATGCGCTTGCATATTTCAAATCCTACCTTTCTAATAGGTATCAGTATGTCACCATTAAAAACCACTAAAGACACAGCCTCATCAATACGGCCACTTGATACTGGAGTTCCGCAGGGAAGTGTTCTCGGACCCCTGCTCTTCCTCATTTACATCAATGATATTCGAAACGTATCCCAACACCTGAAACCCATTCTCTTTGCTGACGACACGACTTATGTCATCTCTCACCCTAATTTTGCAACCCTCAACACCATTGTTAACGAGGAGCTGCTCAAAATATCGACTTGGATGACAGCCAATAAACTTACACTTAACACTGACAAAACCTACTATATTATGTTTGGTAGCAGAGCAGGTGTTGCGCAACTTAACATTAAGATCGACAACACTCTAATTGCCAGACATAATTAGGGCAAATTCCTAGGCCTATACCTCGAGAACAACCTAACTTTCAGCACCCATATCCAACATATAACAAAAAAAGTATCCAAAACGGTGGGGATCCTCTCCAAGATACGATACTACGTGCTGCAAACTGCTCTTGTCACACCATACCATTCACTTATTTATCCATACCTCACCTATGCTATCTGTGCTTGGGGATCAATTGCAGCAACACACCTAAAGCCAATAATAACCCAAAAAAGCCGCAGTAAGAATAATCACTAAATCCCATCCCTGGCAGCACCCCCCCACTCTTAATAGATGTAAACTTACTCCCTGTTCAGAACATCCACACATACTACTGTGCAATCTATATCTACAGGACCTTAAATTCCAATATTAACCTTTGACCTAAAACTCTTTCTTGATAGTTGTGACAGAACCCACAGGCATAACACCAAACACAAACATCTCTATGACATTCCCCGAGTTCGACTAAACCTTTAAAAATATTCAATGTATTTCAAAGGACCTAAAATCTGGAACACCCTACCTGAAAACTCTAGAACTGCAGACACATTCATCACCTTCAAAACTACAGTTAAAAAACATCTTATCTCCTTGATACACCCCGTCAACTAACTACATGATAACCACCTGGTGGTTCACAATTACACTCACTCACCCACTGACTATAAACACAGAAATACTAATCTTAATCTTAAAATAATGAATCCTAACTAGTCATAAGTTTGCCTATGATACTCCAATATAGACACTTTGTATTGTGCCAAAACAAAAGCATTCACATTGCTAAACTCACAAATTATGATGTAGTCACTTAGCCTTAATACAATAATCTGTAAGAATTTAATGATAAGAATTAATCTAAGTCTGCTCGAAATGCCTAGCCATGCTAGGTGTCCTAGTGGCCCCCTCTGTAATTAGTATTTTATAACATGTAAACCACACAATACCCAAAACCTGTAAACCCTGCATTGTAACCCTTATAGAGAATAAACTTGATTGATTGATTGGTTGACTAATTATATACCTACATTATTATAAAAATGTCAGGTGTTGTAAAGTATCCGCCAGGTGTAGGACCATGCAATCCTACAAGAATCAAGATCCATATATATATATATATATATATATATATATATATATATATATAATATATATATATATATATATATATATTATATATATATATGTATATGTATATATACCTAGAGAGAGTTCTGGGGTCAACGCCCCTGTGGCCCGGTCTGTGACAGGTTCATGGTGGATCAGGGCCTGATCAACCAGGCTGTTACTGCTGGCCGCACGAGTCACAGCCGACTGGTCAGGTACTGACTTTAGATGCCTGTCCAGTGCCTGCTTGAAGACAGCCAAGGGTCTATTGGTAATTCCCCTGATGTATGCTGGGAGGCAGCTGAACAGTCTTGAGCCCCTGACACTTATTGTGTTGTCTCTTATCGTGTTGGTAGCACCCCTGCTTTTCATTGGAGGGATGTTGCACCATCTCCAAAACAGCCACAGGGGGAGTAGAATTATAGGTCTACGCCTTTCGTGTTGCTATCAACACGTCGTCAGGAGCTAACAAAATTGCAGAAAAGAGAAGAATATCCAAGCAAAGACAATCCCAAAGGATGTCTTCACTGAAGTGTATTTGCTTTGATATCTCCTATTTTCTGCAACTTTGCAAGCTCCTGATGTGTTGGTTGCAACACGAAAGGCCTAGAGCTATCATTCTACTGCTCCTGTGGTTGTTTTACACCCTGTATCGCTGGGTTTGCGATATTTTGGGCTACCAAACCAGGGTGGCCCAGAAAGAAAAAGAGGAGTACTCTTTTTAACTCTAGTAATGTATACAGGAGAAGGGGTTACTAACCCCTTGTTCCCGGCATTTTAGTTGCCTCTTACGACACGCATGGCTTACGGAGGAAGAATTCTGTTCCACTTCCCCATGGATATACATGTCAATAACAACACTGCGACTAGCCGAGGATTTGAACCCATGTCGTTTTGGCCCGGCTCATGGTGAGCGAAAACCACATGACGCTATAACCTACAGGACCATGCAATCCTACAAGAATCAAGATCCAGAAGTAGCTAGGTGTTTTACCTTGATCCAAGGACATACGCTGATGTGGGTGCCTCTAAGCTATTTTCATTCAAATCTCCGTTTGGTGTACTAGCCTGCACGAGCAGTATTTTATATTATTGTAACCACAAACGAGTGGTATTGAATGAATAACAACACTGCGACTAGCCGAGGATTCGAACCCGTGTCTTTTTGGCCCTCCTCATGGTGAGCAAAATCCACATGACGCTCTAACCCACAGGATCACACAATAATCAAGCACCCAGCAGAGCTAGGTATTTTACCTTGATCCGAGGACATACGGTGGTGTGGGTGCCTCTGAGCTAATTTCATTCAAATCCCCGTTTGATGTACTAGCTCGTGAAGGCTAGTATACAAAACGGGGATTTGAATGAAATTAGCTCAGAGGCACCCACCATCTGCAATTATTTTTTGTGTTAGCACAATTATAATGGCGTAAGAATACTTACCTACGCCGTGCAAATAAAGATAAATGCTTCTCAAGTTCTCATGTCGTTGATGCTAGCCAAGTCTCCTCCCAGGAGGTTGCACACTACCTCAGCCTCCTGCCAGGTGGACTCCTGATGAGTGACGAGGGAGAGGCACATGTCTCCTACTGGAGTGAAGGGAGTCTCACACACTACTTCTTTCTGGTCCTTCTGCACTTCTTGAGAGAGAATAATAAGTCATTTTTATTAATTATTTTGCAAAAATTAAGACAGATTTCTATGTGCTAAAATATTTTATACGTGAGCATTTTGGCAGCATGATTTTTTCATGAAAATTAAACGATTCTGTGTTTCTTAGAGGTCACTACATTAACTACATTTGTTATAAAACAGAGGAAGGGGGAGCAAGCAGAGCATTTTTCCGGTGACCGTACATACTAGGTACGCCAGAATTAGGACTTTTATATAGTACAGATGAGCCTAAAACTTACCAGTTATTGTCGTATAAATTTTAAAGCTTTACGTTTAAATGAATGCACTGCACTAAGGTTATGTTGTATTCTTTCATTCAGAGTGAAAGGATCGTTTGTACGAAGATTTAATTTCAATAGCATTACTTGGTGATTTTTTTTTAGCTGTCAAGCTTGATCAATGTATTTTAAATAGTTGTCTGTAATAATGGGATTTTTATGTAACAAATTTCTGCCTCTCTGTGTTCATTTTTTCATATCATGATTTAAATACTGTTGGTTTTTATTACTGCCAACAGTATCAATTAATTTTAAATATTATTCGAATAGTCGTTATAATATAAAGGATGGGTCTCCTCTCCTGTGCATATATGTGGATCCACAGCCGTCGGGAAGTAGATAGAACGGCTTCGAGAAATATTTGGATTATTATCCGATAGCCATTTAAATATATCCAGTTCCCACCTACAAACCCCATAATTATATTTTTTTTCGAACAATATATCGCTAAGATTTTATATTACATAATATAGGTATACACAAGTCATTTTTAAAGCTACATTGCTGCTACAAAGACGACATATACAGTACATGAGGTTTGAGAGATATATTTCAAGTGTATATTGTTACATGTTTATCACAAATTACAATGCAAAAATCTCATCCAGCTCCTCAGCTGGGGTGAGTACCCAGGATACAGCAAGCATTACCTCTCTGAACCGCAGTGCTGAGTCGCTGGCACAGAAAACTAGCTGCCCTAAGATCCCTAGTTACTCTGAAAAGTCTCCGAGCCTATGTGAACTAACATATAATGAGGGACAAGTTCATCGTAATTTCTAGACTTCTGGGACTCCCTGAAGCTGGCAGCTGCTCCTCCTTCCTCCCTGAGGTAATGAAAAAAGGTATCAGCCAATGTAGATACACAAGTGTAGTCCCACATCACCTGCTTGCCGTCTGTCCAGGCTTAAAAGGTGATACCATCTGGGTGCTTTTGGTTACTGTGGAAAATAATTTCCCCCAAAAAATTATGCTGTGTAAATAAGCCTGATTAATACGTTACTATTGTTCTGTTGAGTGCATTTTAAATAAGAGAATGGACAGGGAAGCTCTGCTCCTGCGCGGGCAAGCAGAGAGTCGTCGCCATTTTTTGAATGAGTCGAGAGAAATGTTAGGGAATACAGGAAAATTTTTTGTCGCTCTAGAGGTGATATTGGGCTTACACCTCTCAAATAGGAGCCGAAATTGTTGGAATTACAGTCCTGCATACCGTGACAAATCAGGCGACTGGACAGGACTCCGTAATTAGATGAAAACAGGAACCTCAGATAAATCTGTTTATGTTAAATTCTGGCCAGTAAATTTTTCATAAATTTAGACAAAGGGAGGTGTTCTGTACATGATACACATTAATCTCCAGACAAATTGGTGAGTGTTATGATTATAAATTCTCCCTCTGTTATATAATGTGTATATGTAATCATTTATTAATTTTAACATACAGTCAATAAATTTATAATAATTTTACCAGAATTCCTGGTGATGTACATTTCATTTGTAATTAATATAGGTCTAGAGCAACTTGTGGAGAGATAGATGGTAGGTATTGAAGGGGCACATTTTTTTGCGACCTAGGTGCCCTAAAAATTCCTACTTGTCTCTGTAACTTTGATAAATAATAATTATCTTTGTTACCATTTACTGGTATGTACCTTATGAGTTACATCCAGATAAATGTAATTTTCCACAATTTAGTTGCCTATTGGTCCTTCTTTGAACTGGATGTAATTAGTGAAATCATTTAGTTAATTACTTAATAATTATATATGAAATGACAGAAGGAAGTGGATGTTAGGTCCACAAATTTACTTAATGTTTAGTGGATTATAATTATTACAATATTAATTTTGCCAAGCCTGGCTAAGATTTATAGTAATGTGTATAATATTAATTTTGCTAAGCCAAAGTGGCTAGGATTTATATTAGTGTATTTGTATAATATTAATTTTGATAAGCCAAGTCTGGCTAAGATTTGTATTAATGTGTATTTAAAATTTATATTATAATTTTCTTACATGTAATTGCTAAGCTCAAGAAGCTAGGATTTATTCAAAGGTAAGTTGTAAGATTTACCTTTATGAAGTGCATAATTAAGTACATAATCAGTGTTATTAATTTAATAACATTATGTTATTAATTTAATACATTGCACCATGGGTGAAAATGAGGAAATTAATGTAGAAGACAAATACATGGAGTATAGAGAAAAAAAATCATGAAAAATAATGAATCAAGATACTGTGAATGCTGATGATTTAAAATTGTATTTGGATGCTTTAGGGAATAGATATGATTCATACAAATTATATTACAACAAATATGAAGAAGATTTGTTAGTAAACTGTGTAGATGAGACTAAAGTAAATCTTATGATTAACCAGTATTATGAATTAGAGGAAAAGATTCTTTCTTGTAAAAGTCAGGCTTTGAATAAATTAAAATGTGTAAACCAGGCAGTTAATAAATATGTTCCAACAAATAAGATGTCTTTGCCAAAACTCCCAGAATTATGTTTACCTGTATTTAATCCTGGAGAAAATTGGGAGGAGTTTTGGTCTATTTTTAAAGCAGCTGTGCATGATAGGAGTGATCTAGCCTGTGTAACTAAATTATTTTACCTCAAAGGACAGGTAAGAGGAGATGCTCACATGTTCATACAAGCCTTTCCCAATGTAGATGACTCTTACAAGGAAGCAGTTGACTTGTTGAAAGTCACTTATGGTAATATAGAACAAAGTAGGTTGAATCTAGTGAATATCATTGTTAATTTAAAATCTCCAGATCACACTTACAAAGGTTTACAGCAGTTTAGAGTTAAACTGGAGAGCACTCTCAAAACTTTAATTAAATAATAAATATAATCTGAAGGAATCAGACTGGTTATTGAGTGCCATTGTACAGAATAAATTAAGCTGTAAAACACTTGAAAGATTCTCGAACAAGTGTCACAAAGGTTATTTTGGTCTGGAGGAAATAAGACTAGGTCTACAAGAATTAATTGTTCAGTTGCAAATCAGCCAACCAACTCAGTTTAAAGATGCAACACATAATAACTCTGAGGTATCTGTCAAGTTTCACAAAGGAAAAAAATTATCCCAATGGCAGTAATCAAAATTCATTTCCTAAAAAGAGTTGCATAGGTGCATATCAAGAAGCAGGAATCAAAAATAATGATTCTCCACAAGGTAAGAAGAATAAGTACCCTCCTAAGAGTAGCCCAGTTAATAAGAAACCAGTCAAAGAAAAGAGAGATTGTCTTTTCTGCAAGGGTACTCATTTTTCTAAGAATTGTAGTGCATACAATTCATGGAATGATAAAGTTGAAAGATTGGAAGAACTTGACAGGTGTATCAGATGTTTAGGTAATCACAATGTAAAGGATTGTCATGCCAACTTAAACAACTGTTATCAACGTCACAAAGGAAGACACCATATAGTCATGTGTAAGGATGTATATGATGTTGTTGTTAATAATGATAATGTTGGCAATCCTGACACAACAGTGGCTATTGTAAAAATTGCTACTAATGTTAATAATGATGGGTTTGCTGAAGTAGCCTTACCTGTGTTACAGGTAAAAATTGATGATAAAAGGCATAACTCAAAAAATGTAACTGCATTATTAGACCAGGGATCCCCAGCGTACTTTCATAAAACGTAAATGTCTTGATGGTATGAAAGTACAGATGGGAGATCCTACAACTCTAAAATTATCTGGTTTTCTCTCAGATAAAAGGGCTCAATTGTATGACACTGTTTATGTAACTGTCAGGTTGGGCAATGAGAAAAAACGTGTTAATGCAGTAATTGTAGATAGACTTCCAGAGAAAATATCTACAGTAGGGCTTAGTAAAGCTACAGAAAGACTTTCACATAATGTAAATTTAGCACCTTCTGGTGTAAGTGATGATTCTGTAGGCCCAATAAATATTTTGATAGGTAGTGACTATTATGCCTCCTTTGTAAAGGGTATGGTAAAGAAATGTGGTGTCACCTTTTAAAGACTGCAGGAGGCCATGTAATGTATGGTAGGATTCCTCGTAATAATAATTCATGACTAGACGAAACTACAAATACCATAACTGTGTGTCTTACTCATGAAATCGTACCCCAGTATAATTCTTCCATAGAGATGGTGTTGAGCCAGTGCATAAATTGTGGGAATTAGACAGCATTGGAATAAATGTAAATGAAGAAAGTCCAGACGATTCTTTTACTCAGGAACAATACCTGAGAGATGTAAAATTTGAATCTGGATAATACTGGGTACGACTTCTGTGGAGACTGGACCATCCAGAATTGCCCACTAATTACAGAATGGCATATGGACAATTAAAGGCTCAGCTCCACGAACTGAGTAAGACACCAGAATTGTTTACTGCCTATAATGATATAATTACTGAACAGTTAGTTAATAAATTTATAGAAGAGGTACCTCCTGAGCAAGCCAAAATTTAATGTCACTATTTGCCACATCACGGAGTGAAGAAGGATTCTAAGACCACTCCTTTGAGGATTGTGTTTAATTGTAGTGCCAGGAGTAACAAAAATGTATCTAGTTTAAATGACTGCTTGATGACAGGTCCGTCGTTGACGGAAAAATTACGAGATACCTTATTAAATTTCAGGGCAAAGAATCATGCCTTTACGGCTGACATAAGTAAAGCTTTCCTAAGAGTGGGTTTACAAGA